GTGCACCTTCTGCTTTCTCAAGTAGAGCGAAGCCTGGAACTAGCAACAGGCATGTCCTTATCATCAGAATACACCTTAGAAAGGTGGGATTTTTCATAGGATTGGAGGGGGGAAGGCAGCACTTGTGGGCTGGGAATTTGACTTTCTGTTCCATAGAGGACAGCTGAGGTACTACTGGCAGATGTCCGTTCTGGGTAGGGAGGTTTTGTCACTTCCCCAGAATTTAATGTGACCATGTAAGAAACATTTGTGGGATTCTTTCTTCTGAGTATGCCTGATTTATTCACTGCCCTCTCATTTCTTCTAGGCATATGTGTATGGTAATGCGTGGGGTGCAGAAAATGAACAGTAAAACAGTAACCAGCACAATGTTGGGAGTATTCCGGGAAGATCCAAAGACCCGTGAAGAATTCTTGACACTCATCAGGAGCTGAAACTGTGTTATTCTCTAAATGCACTCTGGAGATTTTGTCCAGTGTCACTGTCTGTTCTTACTTATTCTTACATCTCACTTTTAAACTAAATTGTTGTGAATTGTTGTCATAGTCTTTGTGCGGTAAGAGACTTCTGATGGCAAATGAAAATGTAATGATGAGGTAGGCTCCTCCTGGATTTCCGGTGAAGCTAATGTCACAGAATTACAAGCAACAAATAGGGTTTTGGAAATGTTTTTCATCCACAATGCAGAATATTCTGCTCTCAGGAGAAAAGTGGGGCTTGGGAGTGAAATGGATATTTATAAAATAGTTATGTTTATTAGAATAAATGTGGAACAGCGCAGAAAATGATGGAAAGGCTGTGGGTCCTTGTAGGACCCCTATGCTGCAAATACTGCACCTCTGCTGAAAAGTATGGTCCTGACTTCTCTCTGACTATATTTTATTACAAGTCCTGCAGCGGCTGTTTAAAAATCTGGATGTCTGTGTTATACCTCTTTGAGATGTTTGATGTTCTCGCTAGTGGTGTTTGATGTTCTTGCTAGTATTAACCCTCCTTTTCTGTGTGTGTTTTTTGTTTGAGAAACTTAAAACATGTTTGTCCTAGCCTCTTAACGTGCAGGGATTTAACTTCTAAATTATTTGGGGCATATTCTTATCTCAGTATATACCATTTTATGCACCTTCTTATCTGTGCCTCAGAATCTCTGATCACTTTTAACTGTTAGTTTCTTACTATTTTTAAGCAAACTTTAAGAGTGGGGAGGGAAAAAAATCCAGTCTGTGAAGTGCTAAGAGATCCAAAGAGGTTTTTAATGATATTATATTTTGAGCTTTCCCTCTTGGATTTCTGTGGGTTAGATCAAGAAGCTAAAAGTAGCCTGGTAATCTGAAAATTAAGAGTTCAAGCTTGTCAAGATTTGCATCTCATAAATGTTGGACCAAAGGTAAGCACTGAAATCCTGAACACAGCACCGTTGTACCTCTTCTGCTTGACAGCCGGTCGTTTCAGGGCAAAGTAACCTGAAATGACAACAACTTATTTTGTAAGAGCAATTGAGAAAAGCATTTCCAGGGCCATCAAAGTGAATTCAACCACATTTGTTTCTGTGTGGCAACTTCTGTATGTGGCAGTATTGGTACAAAAGGTTCAGTCAGATGGACTTGGCTGAACTTCTTTGTTACAGTTTTAATGGATGTTTTGTAACTCTTAATTGGGAAAACATGAGGCACAAATGAAAACCACCCTTCCCAAACTAAGCACAGGAGGCAAAAGTTAAAGAATAAAATGTCAGCCAGGGTGTCGGATGCTCACAGAGAAGGTTCCCATAGTGGTATCTGCTATGCCGAATATGAATCCAAGATGTTCTGTATATGAACCTAAAAGACAGTTCCTGGTCTGGCAAGCTCCATCTTAACCAACATTCCTGCCTCTTGCTTCAACCCGTGTTGGAAATTGAATGAAAATAATGTCTGGTCAAATTTCCATTGGGCCTAAAGAAGTTTCAAGAACAACCACCTCATGTACTTTATTACACTGATTTTACCTTGATGACCTTCACAGCATTATTGGGAAAAATCTTTTGTAATATCCTCTGTTCTGGATTCTGTAGAGTTAAGTACTGTAACAGTGTTTGTCTGCTAGTGTAAACAAGCTGTGTTTGCACATTTATAAAATACACTAACTCTATGGTATTTGTTTTTCTGAAATGGTTGACAGCAGATATTGCCACTTTCTGCTTCAGTGTATGTTTCAAATACCCAGCTGAAAAAGCCTTAAACCTTTCTTGCCTGAGGTTCAGAGTAGAACTCTGTCTTTAACTCAAAAACAGGAAAAAGAATTTGAGGACCAAAGGGGCACACACTAGTATATTTGTTTCTCTTTGCTTGCTTTAGTTTGGAAATTAAGTCTCTGTAAAACACTGCCTTGCTCCTGAGGTAAGGGAAAAGTTGTGTTTTAACCCCTTATCTCTATTCAGGATAAAGTTCGCATTGCACCACCACTGGTTTTTATTTCCATGTGACCTATAGCCCTTAAACCATACCTCTCTCTACTTGTGGCCTTGGATTTTGCTCACGTTGTTGTTGTAAGATTTGGTGCAATTTTTTGAACATTAGTATTGTTCAAATACACAAGCTTTAACTACACCTAGTGTGTATGTATGTCTAGGACGTACAGCCTGTTGTTGTACCGTGTGAAAGTCTTGTCTCTATTAAAGCACAGTACTATCCTTTGGAGTGGTAGCATTCTTGGTGACTTGGAGGTGATGGCATCTCATAAGGAAGTGGCACAAGTTCTGTCTCCTTGGGTGGGGTTTTTTCTTCACTGGTAGGTGCTCCAAGCCTGTGCTGAGATGTTGGGTTGCTCTTCTGGGACAGTAGTTGCTGTTGTACTCAGATGAGTCCCCATTTGTGTCATCATCTTTCTTTCTGGTCCTCGGTGCCAGAGGAGTCAATGGGGCAGGAGGGCGGGTGGCAATAGCTGCTCTGGAGTAGCTGTTGAACGCTTTGAGACTCACAGACTTACAGACCTCTTGTATGCTTCTTGAGCTGTTCTGGATGCCTCATCACACTTTACTGAGGAAATACCTGGTTCCTGGCCAAGCTACCTGAACGAATGTGTCCTAACACTTGACAAGATGTAGGTGTGACAAGACCTTGAAGCTGAAGTCTTGGTTGGGTTACCCCGCTGTGTGCCATGCACAGCAATGAGCTCAGCCTGTGCTAGCAGAAGCTGTGCTGCTCCTTCAAGGGGGGAAGCTGTTTGAGAGATATTCCTGCCATCCTCTCAGGATGCAGATATTGCTGAGATACAGAGGAAGGAAATGCAAAGTTTACAGATTGGAGACTCCTGAGGAGCATCATAACCAAAGCTTTGCCAAGGGGCAGTGCTGAGGGAAGGGAGACTGCACAGACTGCATTTGGGTATGTTTGTATACACATGGACAGCATGCAGCTGCCCTGTCACTTCACACCAGAAGCAAAGCAGACCGTGCCTGTGTGCGCCAGGGAAGTCCTTTCGTAGCTCTTAATGTTTGCTCTTCTCTATCACCAGGCTCTTCCAGGGGGTGGATGCCTTCTGTGCTGCAGTTGGAGCTGTAACTGCACCAACAGAGGAGCATGACCTGCTGCAAGCTGCCAACCCCTCATGAGGGTGAACTGACCCAGGCTTTTCTGCCCCTTGGATGGGGGAAGGAGAATAAAAAAAAGGAAGACATTAAATGTCTGTGTGAAAATTAACCTTATCCCAGCCAAAACCATCACAGCTTCTTCTGGAGAAGAGAAGGCTCCAGGGAGAGCTTGTACCAGTCTTCCAATACTGAAAGAGCTACAGGAAATGTGGAGGATTTTTTACAAGTGCCTCTAGGGACAGGACAAGGGGGAATGGCTTTAAACTGACAGAGGGCAGATTTAGATAAGATATTAGGCAGAAGTTCTTCCCTGTGAGGGTGCTGAGGCACTGGCACAGGTTGCCCAGAGAAGCTGTGGCTGCCCCATCCCTGGCAGTGTTCAAGGCCAGGTTGGATGGGGCTTGGAGCAACCTGGTCTAGGGGAAGGTGTCCCTGCCATGGCAGGGGGGTTGAACTGGATGAGCTTTAAGGTCCCTTCCAACCCAAACTGTTCTGATTCTTAAGTCTCTTCTCTGCTGAAGCACGAGATGATCCAGGCAACCAGAAATGGTTTTGGGCTGCAGGCGGGGTGGGGAATGTGCTGGCACAGCGTAGCTTTGTGGGTGAATGCTGTGCCAGTCAGGAAGCCTCCAGCTGCGTGGGGGTTTGTTTTTGTTTTCTTTTTATCCAAAATGGTCTGTCCTATTTGGAAATAACCCCCCTGGGAGGCCTCGGAGCATTGTCAGGAATTGTCTTTGTGGTGAAGCTGAGTTCTGTCTTTCTCACGGTTGTATATTGAAGCCAGAGATTGTGGTGGGAAATGGCCTGTTTGTTCAAATGGGCGCTTTTGCAGGACGTTTTCTATTGCCTCCTCTTTATGTTTTGTGTTGGTTTGTTTTTTAGGTGTGGGATTGGAAGGAGCCTTCCTGGGTTTGTGATCGTGGGAAAACAATTTTTCATTGAGGGGGAAAAAAAATATTCAGCTTAAAAGTGTTTACAGCTCAAGAGAAAAACAAAACCCTCAACAAAACAGAAGAGAGCGGTAACCAAACCTGTCAAAGACCCCAAATCTGCAATTAAGGTGACATCCCACCATCCCTAACCTACCACATCTCTCAAGATCTCACCTGCTCTATCACACGCTCTGTTCATTCCCTGGTAATTTCCCGTGGTATGTGTGGCTTCTCAGGGTTTTTTTTCCTCAGCTCCTTTGTGTTCTGTTTTGGGTTTTGTGGGGTTTGTTTGTTTGAGGTATTTTTGGTTTGGGTGCCCCCCCCCCCCCCCCCCCCCCCCATTGCTGTGGTTTACTTTTGGTGTCTCCCATTACTCTTGCACATGTGCTGTGGATTGACCAGTCAGTGAGTCCCTGTGCCATGTCCAGCCTCTGTCAGGTCCATGGCACAGGCTGTTTGGTCCTCTCCCCTTGGGTTCCATCTCCAGGTGCAGATTCACAGAATCACAGAACAGTTTGGGTTGGAAGGGACCTTAAAGCTCATCCAGTTCTAACCCCCTGCCATGGCAGGGACACCTTCCACTAGAGCAGGCTGCTCCAAGCCCTGACCAACCTGGCCTTGAGCACTGCCAGGGATGGGGCAGCCACAGCTTCTCTGGGCACCCTGTGCCAGCGCCTCAGCACACTCACAAGGAAGAACTTCTTCCTAATACCTAATCTAAATCTCCCCTCTGTCAGTTTAAAGCCATTCCCCCTTGTCCCTTCCCTACAGGCCCTTGTCAAAAGCCCCTCTCCAGCTTTCTTGTAGCCCCTTTAGGCACTGGAAGCTGCTGTAAGGTCTCCCTGAAGCCTTCCCTTCTCCAGACTGAACAAGCCCAACTCTTTCAGCCTGTCTCCATAGCAGAGGTGCTCCAGCCCTTGGAGCATCTTCATGGAAAGTCTGAAAACTTTTTCCTCAAAGCACCCTCTTGCACATAGGATTGGTCAGGTAGGTGATGAAAACAAATGCTGCTGCTTGAAGATGTGAGATTTCCCAGCCCAACCTAACCTGTTCCCAAGGAAGCTCATGGAAAGACAGCCTTAAAGAAGGAGGGAGGAGGAGCCTGGGCAGTACCAGCTTGCTGGGAAAGCGCTGACAGATGGCTAGCCTGCAGCTCTGAGTGCTCAGCAGTGGGGAGCTGCAAGCTGGAGTAGGACTGGAGTAAGCTCATAGCTGCTTAATGAGCTAAAATTGCTCATTACCTGCCTTCTGGTTCCTGGCCTTGCTCTCGCAAGTGAGTTGTCGGTATTGAGAAAGAGCCCCCAAACTGCTGTGTCCTTTGAGCTTTGGCTGAGCCCTTGTGGCAGCTCCTGGAAATAACCTTTGAAAAGCTTTGCCTTCCAATTGTATTTAAAGTTGCAGTTATGATTTAGAAGTTAAGAGGATATAAAACATTAAAGCTCTTTTTATAAGTCTTGGGCTGTGCTGCTGACAGGGACAGCAAATAAATCACAGTGTTCAAATAAATCTTGCTAAGATACACAAAGATATAATCAGAAAGGATTTATTTACCTTTTTTGAAGAACTTTGTATTGTGGTTTTGGTGTTGGGGCTTTGTAGAGGCATTTTTGGCAGAGTGGACTGTACCACATTACCTCTGTTTGCTCTGCTGCTCCATACTGTGATGGCAACAGTAAAGCAAAGGTTAGAAATCTGCCCTGAGGGGCTAACTGAGCTGTACCGGCCTCTAGGCTATTTTAAAAGTACTAAGGCAAACAACAGTGGTGCTTCTTTTCCTGGCCTATACAGTTGCCACCAAGGGAGCAATTCCTGGGTGGGTGCCCTCACCCAACCTTCACGTGTAGCCTGGGGGACCCTTTACTAGGAGTTACGGGAAGGCATTAGTGCCCTGGCTCTGCCCTGCCCTGGCATGGGTGCCTGCACACCCTCTCAGCATGTTCCCCTTGAAAAGGTGTATCTCACTGTACAGCTGACAGTTCTTTAGTCCACACACTGATGGATGGTGCATGAATGGCTGCAGCACACCGATGCACAGGAAAAAGGGAAAATCGATTTTTTTCATATCATTAATGGTATCCACATCCAGCATTAGCAGTGCTATTATGAGCAGATTAGCCAAAAAGTGTCTGAGGGGGTATCTTTATGGTAAAACAGGGTAGGTTTGGGTTTACCTGTTATTTTCACCTACTGCAACCACTAAGGGACGGTCCTTTGCATGCATTTTCTGCTCCAGCCAGAAATGCCACAGGAGGTATGGCCTGTAGATACATCAATTATTGGAAAACATAAATATCAACCCCAATGGTGTCACCTTCCTAATATATCTGTGGGATGCATTTAGAATCTCTGGTTTTAAAGTGATGTGGGGGGACAGTCCTTAGTGCCATGTAAATGTTTCCTGTGGGGACCTAAATCTGTGCAGGGCACCTCAAGTCTGTGTTCATTTCCTCCAGTCTCTTCCCCGTTGCTCATCACAAGGGGAGATATACTGGGAGGGGAATGGGCATCATTGCACTGAGCTGGTACAGTTTGGAGGGAAGGGAAGGGTGGGAAAGGTTGTTGTAGGGAAGCAGCAGCAGCGGGGAGGGATAGCTGGCAGGGGGTTTGCAAAGGTTCCGCCTGCGGCTGGCTGATGCTCAAGGTCAGTGATAGCGGAGAGAGAGGAGAAAGAGTGCCAGGCTGGATCCCAGCCTCTGCAGCTTCCTGTCCGGGGACACACAGTCTGTGGCTCCCTCTGCTGAGCCCGGCCCCAAGTTCTGCTCACGGCAGGAGAGGAGCAAGAGCGTTTATGGGGGCTGGAAATGCTTTTCAGGGAGGCCTGGGGGTCACCCCAATGCCAGGGAGCATAGTGGGGTGGCAGAGGGGCATCTCTACTGCTTCCTGCTGCTGGGTGATGCTGCCCTGAGGAGCACCAGCTGACTGCAACCACCTCCACACAGGGATGGAGATGGGGCTGGGTTGTCACAGAGCAAGGGCCAACCTGCCAGCATTATGATTACGATGATGACTATTATTATTATTGAAAAACGGCCAAAAATCTATTTTTTGTAGCAAAGTGGGAATTCTGGCAGAGCTGAGCAATTTCTCCTGACTAGGCCTGATCAGCAGTGTTTTGCTTAGTGAAGAGGGAAAATGCTGCTTTGCTCTCCCAGGCAGGGCTGTACACACCATTCTGCTGCCTGCCCAGAGCACGGCTGCTGGCCCTCTCTGCCTGTACTGCACTTTGGGTGAAGCCATGGTCTGTCCTTCTATGACTGGTCCCTTCCTTGGTGCCAATGGCTCCATGGCAGCCCGTGCAGCTCTGGACCCTGTCCCCTAGACTGCACAGGGACCGGTGCTGCTACTAGAAAAACATCCATCACTAGGCACCTTGCTGGGAGGTGCAGAGGGATAGCCTCATATTCATAAGGGTGCAAACTCTTCCCTTGGGGACATATATAGCTCTATAGATATAGGGTATTGCCTCTGATCCCATGCCAGGACCTGTGATCTGTAGGGTGAATGCAGAGGCCACTCATCTCCACTGCCCCATGTGGGTGATGCTGTGGCCCCGAGGTGCTCATGCCAAGTGTGTGTTGATGAGCCTTCTGCAGATCCCAATTAAAAATAGCTCCCTAGAGCACTCGGTGATGCTGCTGAGCCCTGGGGTGAGTTCACTCTCTAGAAGTGCTGTCAAGCATCTGCCTCAGCGGAGGAGCATCAGGCTGCTTAGATGAGCAGACAGCCCCTTGTAGCCTTGAGTTTAGATGCAACAGCTGTAGGAGTATTTTCCTTCCTGGGGTCGAGTGGCATCACTTGCTGTTCATGAGGAGGTGGCAAAGGTCATGTGGAGCAAAGCTGTCATGCTGCTGGTACGGGCTGCCAGCCCATGGCTCTGAGGAGCAGCATGGCAGTGGCAATTTGGTATCATCTGGCTGGCCAGGGATACCTGGATGAGCTCGCCAGTATCATCTAGGCTCTCCTGTACAGTCTCAGCTGACAGACTTGGAGAATTAAATATTCCTTGAATTTGAGGAGCTCTTCTGGTAAAGCCATCTCCATCTTAGAATCACAGAATAGGGTTGGAGAGGACCTTAAGATCACCTAGTGCCAAGCCCCCTGCCTGATTAAAAGGTAGGGGAGTTGAAACTAAAAAACTCTCCTGCCATGGGAAATCCCTGCCTACTGATGCTCATAAATTGTTCCTCTGGCTATTCCCTTTGCTGTTAAATACAAGGCAGTTGGACTTGCACTGGGAGCCTGGGGTTAGGGCCAAAGGGACAAGAGCACCCCCTTGGAGGGTGCATCTGGGTGGCTTCATGGGCTCCCAGGGCTGGGGCTACTTCTCTATCACTCTTAGGGGTAGAGAAGACCCTGTTAATAAGATAACCTGTTCTTATCCCATGCCTGCTGAGGATGCTGCTGAGACTGAGGCAGCCCAGCAGCTGCTAAAACAGTGGCCACCAGCTCTGTTTTTGCTGCCAACTGGATGTGGCTGCAGCCTCTGTGGGGCAGGAGAACACAAGCCATTTCCCCTGGTTGAATGGTGCTCTGGCGTGGTGTACTGCAGAAGCACAAGTTGTTAAAGCCTTTGGCCTCTGGTATTGATTCATCCAACAGCTCCCAACAGCACTGAAATGTTGTTTTCTTCTCTTGATTTTCCTTTTTTAAGCCTCTTTCCAGTTCACCTGCCGGTGGGACCTGCAGACTCTCCCTAACCACATGGCTGCCATGGACTTCCCCTGGAACCTTTTCAGCTGCTCCAGCTCTAATTTTCCATCCCAGGACCCTTTGGTTTCCCTTTTCTTTCTCTTGTAATGCAACAAACCACACTTTGAGGCCCAGAGAGCAGGCACACATAACGTGGAAAGGCAAACTGTTTATGGAAGGAAACGGCGTTTCTCTGGGGTTTAGGTAATGCTTTTCTTAGCTGTGTTGGGAGAGCTGATGCAGGGAGCTGCTGCATGTGGGCTGCGGATGGGGGTGCTCTCCTGGGCAGGGTGATTCAGATGGGACCAAACACCACAATCCAAAATGAATCTTTCCCTCCTGGGGTGACCCTGCTCATAGTGATCAGAAGCATCTTTAAACAAGGGCATGCTTTTGGTGTGCTTGGCTGCAGCAGCATCTGCAAGAGCCTCTTCCAAGGAGAAGCAGAGGATGAGGCTCTTGAGCAATCTGAAGAGGCTCCATGTCTGCGAGTTCTGCTCATCACAGGGGACATTAACTCACCCTGATGCCTGCTGGAGGGATGCTGCAGCAGGGTCCTGGCCACCCAGGAAGTCTCTGGAGGGCACCCGCGATGTTTTCCTGACACAGGCACACCATGCTTGCTACTCAGTAGGTAGCGGTGGGGGAACATGAAGGTCAGGGGCAACACTGGATGCCCTGGTACAACTCAGACATTAAAAAGAACTGTACAAGAGGTGGAAGCAGAGGTCCTGGGAGAAGGGCACAGCGATTGGAAAGGTTTCTGGTGGCTGAAAGAGAGTCACTCCTTCCCTCAAGGACGAGGAGGCTCGTGGGAACTGCAGACCTGTGCCTCCACCTCTGTGAATGTGGTGCGACAACTGATCCGGGATGACATCTCCAGACACCTGAAGGACAAGAAGGTGATGGGGAGCAGCCAAAGCGGCTTCACAAAGGGAAGTCGTCTGCAGTGTGGTGACTGGCCTAGTGGACAGGGCAGAGCTGTGGCAGCTTTATCTTGACTTCACTGGAGCTTTTGGCACTGTGTTCCACGAAACCTTCATGGACAAGCTGATGAAGTACAGGCTGGGTAAGCTGACACTGATGTGGGTTGAAAACTGGCTGATGTGTCAGTCCAGCTGGAGACTGGTCCATAGTGGTGTACCCCAGGGGTGAATAATGGGGCCAGTTACTCTTTAACCTTGTTGTTAAAGACCTGGATACAGACAGAACCTGCTCTCAGCACATCTGCAGGTGACACAAAAGTGGGAGAGTGCTGCTGCCCTACAGGTTCACACTGCTATTCAGAGGGACCTGGACCGAGAGGAACCTCATGAAGTTCAGCAAGGGGCCAAGTCGCGCCCCTGGTGTGAGGCAACCCATCACACCCATTGCATCCTGACGCTGACTGGGTGGAAAGCAGTTTTGCAGAGAAGGAACTGGGAGTCCTGGTGGACACCAGCTGACCATGGGCCAGCAAGCAACCCTTGCAGCAAAGGTGGCTGCATGAACAGGACCATCTCCATCAGGTTGAGGGGGGTGATCCTGCCCCTCTGCTCAGCACTGGTGAGACACAGTTGGTACGCTGGGCCAGGGCTGGGCTCCCCAGGACAGGAGGGACAGGGACATACAAGTGCAGCCAACACCCACACTGATGATTTAGAGCTTGGACTGGTTGAGCAGAGCCTGCAGAAGCTGGGCTTGGTCAGCATGGAGAAGTGGAGGCTCAGGGGGATATTACTAAAGCATCCAGTGGTGAGGGGACTACAACAAGCCCCAAGAGGCCACAGCCACAAGCTGAAACACAAGAAATTCCACTTAAATGTCAGAAAAAGCCTTTTTACTGCTTTAATGCTTTTTAATGCTTATGCTTAACCGTAAGCATAGTCTGACCCTGCACCAGGCTGCTCAGAGAGGTTGTGCAGCCACCACCCAGGTCCAGCACCCTGTTCTCGCTGCCGTGAGGGGTGGGATGGGATGATCCAGGGGTGTCCCTCAGCGAGACAGTGACGCTGCAAACGGCACCAGCCCATGCAGAGTCCAGCTGAGAAAACATTGGACCAGAAGCCATGGTCCTGGCCCCAACGGCTCAGGAGGCTGAGTGTCCGTGGCCAGCAGCAGCTCAAGCTCAGAGCATCCTTCCCCGCTTGCTCTGCCCCAAGGCCAGTCTGAAATCTGTAGTTTTAAGCCCAGAATCAGCCCAGCCTTAAACACCTGACCCGAAGGTCTCCACACACGCTGAGGCTCGCGGCCAAGCCAGCTCCTCCATGTGCCTTCACTGCAGCCTCCGAGCTGCTCCAGCCCTGATTCCTGCCGATTCCAAGAGAAAATCCCGTATCTAAACAGCTCCCAGGGCACGGGTGTCCCACAGGGACACAGCAGCGGCTATGTGGGGAATGCCAGGGATTTGTAAGCCCTGCCGTGGGCTTTATATAAAGATAATACACCCACCCACCCACCCCCCCCCTTGGGGAGCTGCGCAACTCCTCCTCCCCTCTCCCACCCCACGGGGCTGGCCATTTATTTGATTCCTTAAGTATGAGGCCGTCTGCCAACAACAGCATAAATAAGGAGGCACCACACCCCACTGTTACAAAACCTTGTATTAATCATCTCCCTTCACTTTCAATATAACGTTGATATGAAATATAGCCATGATTCCTAGTTACATGGGAGGAAATGAGTAATAAATACATTGGAGCAAGTTGAAATCACAAGGGTGTTTCACTGGGAACAACATTTGAAAACTGTACACTTGCAAAGACCGGCATCTCCAAACATTAGTATGTCTTTATATCGGGAAGCTTTTACATGTAACAAACATGCTAGTTCCATATATGACCAAAAAAAAAAAAGAGATAAATTTAAAAAATATGCATTGCTTGGCAACATTAACGAGGCAAAAATAGTTCTTTGTGCACTAACTTTGTACAGAAAAACAAGACTAAAGGCATGCATGTACAATAAAAGGCTGCCCGGGAACGGCATGCAACAGAAGAGAGGTCAAAGCTTTTTAAAGTAAGCTTACAATATGCATAAATACATAAGGGTTATATATATTAATAAGGGAGGAAGTATTCTGCTGAACATTATTAACATTCCTGTTTTTTTTTTGTTTTTGTGGTATTTTTTTCTTCCTATTCCTCCCAGAGGAATACACATTCACCTTTAAGTAAAGATAAAGGAATACAAAAAATAAAACTCACTTTGCAAACTCTGATGACTCGTATAAAAGCAACTTTAGTGTTATCATCGCTGTGTGCAAATTATAGACGTCTGCAGGACCCACTTCCCATCAGGCACATTCAGAAAGCCAAACCTGGGGCACGGCCGCACCCCGACATGGAGAAAGGTGACAACAGAAATAGTTTCCCTAAGTGCTGACCAAACTCGAGCTTCGCTCCGCGCCGCTCGCGGGCGTCAATCACAGTTTTGGATTTTCCTGCTGGATGCTGGCCGGGCTTGATCCCCCCCCCCCCCAAGATTCTTTTAATGAGCTGAGCAAGCAAAGGCAAAGCCCAGCTCAAGTCCAGTCGAGCTCAGGGCTTGTCCCTGGGGAGGGGGGAAGGACACCTCGAAACAAAGGGTTGGGATTCATTTAATTTCCCTGGGTGTCGCAGCCACAGGGAGCATCCGCAGGACCCAAGGACACTTGGGCGCTGAGCTGGCCGGCCTCCTGCTGCACCCGGGGACGGCTCGGGGGAACAGCACCAGTAAGAGGTCCCCGGCGGGTGCTGGGGGGCCAGGGGCTGTCTCTGGGAGAGCTGGGTGGAACAAGGGGGATGCCCCCCGATGCCGAGGGTCCCCGCAGCAGCAGCATCTCCCTCGCCACGATGCGTACATGGTACAAAACAGTTGCAGGCGGGGTGAATGGGTGAATACAAAAAAGAAAGGCACTGCCGCTTTATTACTAAAGTTTGACTTCACAGCCTCACTCATGCAACTGCTGGGGCTTGTTTTTTTTTTTCTTTTTTTTTTTCTTTTTATAAATAGTTCTTATTTTATGATTCAAGCTACTTTTAATTTGCTTTTTAAATGTCTTTCACTGGCGCTCTGCTGCCTGCACTCAGCACAGGCATCCCAGAGCCAGGCAGGACTTCCCGAACGCAACTGAAGCCACTTCTCTTTATTTTCTTTTTACTTTAAAAAAAGAAAAACAAGGAACAGCAAACACAAGTTATTAACCTATACACTGTCAATGGAAAATAAGCTTTTCCTGGTTTTAAACAAAAGGAAAAACAATTGAATTATTTGGTGGTTGTTAATAACAGACATTATCATGGTTACCAGCCATAGCAAGTTAATAGGTAAAATATCCAAAATAGTATCTCTTAACAATCGGATAACCTCTGCTTCTATAGTCAGCGAAGGAATAAATAGAATCTCAGCTCCGTAAATACATTTGAGCCTTCCCTGAGGAAGGATCCTGCTACGGCAGTTGTGTTCACACCTTGGGGGTGCTCGGGGGGTGACGCAGGTCCCCAGCACCAGCCGGTGCCTGTGTCTCAGCCTCCCCTGGCCCCCACTTTGGCGTCACCTCCTCACACCTCTTCCCAACCTCCCTCGCTTTCAGTTTTCCCTTCTCCACTCCCCCCAGCACACACTCTCCCCACCTCCTGCCTGCCGGGACGCAGGACACCAGGGAACAGCAAACATAAAACACTGCATTTGGCACAGTTTGTTCTTTAGAAAAACAACTTTGAACTGCTGCATAGCAAACGGATTCACACATCTCCCATCCCTGCCCGCCCAGGTGAGGCTCCGGCTTCTGCTCAGCCACCTGTCCTAGCACGCACTGCTGCCCACCAGCGCTTACAGCACAGCCCATTTTGGGCTGCACCCGCCATGGCTGTCATTCCCATTCATCACCTCCCTTCATTAATTAACTTTAAACTTATTATTCCATCAGAGGACACGGAGCAGCATCAGGACTGGCAGGAGCGAAGCCGCCACTATGCCCAGCATCACTGTGGGTGCAGTGGTATTTTTCTGGCCCCCATCATAGGCTTGAGCAGCGCTGCGCTGGATTTACCCATCTAATGTCCTTGTACCAAACTTAGCTCCATTATAAAAAGCAGCACAATGGCAGGTGAGAGGCAGGCAAGCCACTACCACCCACATCTCAGCCCTGGCACATGTTTAATGCCAAGAAAATGGGGCTGCGAAGCTGCATTTTGGTGCCCTTTGGGGCTTGGGTTTTATTTGGCTAAATAAAACTGCATGCTTGCTCTCAAGCCTCCTTCAGCCCTCACTGGCCACCCCCAGGGCTGGAAAAAACCATTACTGGTGGATTTCAGCAGGCTGGGGCCTGATGTGTGAAGCCAGGATGCAGCAGCACCTTCCCAGTACCTGTGCAGGCAAGGCAAGAGACATGGAAACTCACCCAGTATCCCCCCAATTCACCGACATCCCCTAGGACCCTCCGCTGGGCGAGATGTCCCCCTCCACATCCCTGACCAACACCAAGGGTGCAGGGATGGGGGGACCGACCCCACACCTGGCAGGTGCCCACAGACCCTCCGCTGCCCCGTGCACAATGCTGCCTTGAAACTGCGGATGCTCTTGGCTAAACTGAAAGGAAACTTTGGGGTTATTATTAATATTATTTAAATCAGGGCTCGCTGGGTAGTCTTGTGCCTGCACACAGCGAAATTCAAGAGGTGGGACCACCGGCCCCAAAGCCCCTGGCAGGACACGCAAATCCTCCCCAGAGGATTTTGGGTCACGCACACCCGCGTGCTATTCGGTACTCATTCGTATCCTCGTCCAGAAACAGGGTTTGCCCATGGTGCTCTGGTGAACCCTCTGTTGTCAGCACTCTCCTGCTGCGTGCCCCCCCCCCCCCCATGTTTTTTCATCATCGTTGTTGAATTTTTTTGCCACATTTCACCCCCCCCCCCCCCCAGCATGGATGTAATAAATGACAACACAAATTCCAAGTCTAATGATATGTTCACAAGGACAATCTACACATTCACAAAATTAAAACAGGAGAGAGAGAGAAAGAGAGAGGAGAGGAGAGAGAGGAGAAAGGATGCAAGCTATCGCTGAGGCTCCCTGCAAGCCCCGACCTCGCCGCTGGACCCGCAGCAGTTGTTCTCCTGGCCAGCGTCCCCGATGCGACGCCTTTCTAGATCGTGGACGTTCGGTCGACACCATCTGCAATGGGAAAGGAGAGTTAGGAGCAGCCCTGATGAACAACCACTCACATTGCACCAGTAGCCCTGGAGCTGGGGAAGGGAGAGATGGACCCCAGAGCACCCCCAACACAGCCCCTGTGATGAGGTGATGCCTTGGAGCTGCCCCCCCCCACCCCCCCAACAGGGTGTGGAAAGGTTTTAGGGTGTCAGCACTCCCACCAGTGCCTCCATGCCATTGTCTGTCCCCAGCACGTAGCAGCCACCCCCACATCTGTCCGTGTCCTAGCACCCATCCAGGTCTTCTGCCACCTCCCATGGCACCCTTCCCAGGAGCAGAGGGTGTTTCTGGGCAGCCTGGACTCACTGCAAGGTGGAAGTGAGTCTGGGACTTCCTTACAGCAGGACAAGTTCATGACCCACTGTCCAGGAGTGGGGGGACAGGGATGGAGCTGGTCCGGGGGGAATGCCTTGCCCCCCAGCTAACTCAGTCCTGCAATAGCCAAGTCACAGAGAATACAAGATTTTCTTCTGAGGATTCTGGCAGGAAAAATACCCCCAGGAGTTATTTCTGTCTCCCCAGAGCCTCCATCCCCAGTGCCCCGTGACAGCAGGGACAAGTCCAGCCACAGCCCTAAGCCTAGGACTGAGGGGTCCACAACCCACCCCAGGTCCACAAAGACCCAGCTGCCAGCAGCTCCCTCTCCTCCACCCCCCAGGTGCCAGCAGCTTTTATAGGGCCAGAAATCCAACCCTCCAGCCCTCCTCCAGTCCCAACCACCCACCGTCCCCTATCCCAAACCCCCATTCCCAGGATGGAGAGCAGTGGGGGCACTGGCTCCTGGGGTAGCCCCTGAACAGAGCACTCCCTGTTACACTACCCAGGGCATCAGTCACGGCCGCCTCCCTCCTGAAGACTGAAAACAAACAGGTTTTTTACGCCTTTTTGTTTTTTTCTCCCCTGAAGGTTTATTTTTTTACGAGCTATTTATAGCACGAGGTTTGGAGAGGCTTGGGGTATGCGACCTGGAAAAAACAACTCGGAGGAACAGTACTCTGCAGAGGAACATGACAGCTAAGCCTCGCCTGGGCACACGCTGCAGAACCGCTTCGGGTGACAGAAGTGTCCTTGTTTTCCCAGCTGGGGATGCTGCCGTGGCGCTGCCAGGGCCCTGCTGCTTCTCACAGTACTTGCTCTTGCGTTGCTCTCCCTGGGATAGGCTGTTGCATCGCTGCAGGGAGCCCGCTGGTACTCATCCTCCCTGAGGGCTCCTGGCATCAACTGTTGGATGCAGCCTGGGGATTGCCAGTGGTGAGACCCAAGCTGGTTATTCCAGACAGTCTGGGAGATGCTGGTGGCTGTGCTTGTCCCATCACCGGAGGCATCCTTCGTGCTTGGGGTCCAGCACATCAGCGAGGGGCTACGGGAGCTTCTGGTGCTGGTGCTTTTTGCTGCACCAGGCTCTCCATCGCACTGCTGTGTTCCTTCTTTCCTGCCTGTTTTTCCACCTCATCCTCCTCCCTCCCCTTGCCCATTATCTGTCTGCCTGGGCTGGGACCCGCAGTTACCCCAGGCATGGGTGAGGAGCTGCCAGTGCTGCTGTCACAGCGCCTGGTACAGCCCCTGGCAGGACTTCAGCCAGATGCCTTGGGGCTTCCGCAACCCCTGGCCAAGAGGACACTGGTGGCAAAAGGGTAAAATACTCTAAAGCCTGTGAACCATTCGAGCATACCAGTGGCGAGGGCTTTATCAAGAGCTAGTAACAGACTAGCGAGCTAATCCTAATGATTATTAGCAAGCTAACTAGTGGCTAATAAGCATGGACTCCACTAGTGCTGGGTGCGATCCCTGTGTTCAGTTTTTACCCCCTTGCCCCAGCTACCTCACCAAGAGAAGCCAATGTCCATGCCCAACCCTCCTGGGAGCATCCCTGGGAGCATCCCCACATCCATCCCTGCCACCATCCCATCCCCTCACAGCCACAGCCTGTCCCAGCTTTTGGGGGGCATGGGGCAGGGGCAGGTGCTGGGGGGCTCGGCAGAGGCAGTGTGGACGTGCTGGAAGAGCCCAAGGAGGAGGGAGTGCTCACCGCTGAGCGCGTGCTCCGTCATGCTCAGGCACAGGGACTCCAGCCTGTTGTTGATGTCAGGTTCAGTCACCGGCACCTGGAACTCTGCAGGGAGAAAGGGGCAGGAGACATTGGTCAGGGGACCTGGCAGGACCCTGGCAGAGTGCACGTGGGGTAGAAAACCACCTGAAAGATACCTCAGGAAGGGCTGACCACATGGCTGGACTGGCAGCGCTTCACTTCCCAGTGCATCCACCTCTGGCAAGAGATGTTTGCATAAACAGGCATCGCTTCCCTGCTTCTTATCAGTAAGGGGTAAACGTGGGGAAATTCAATGGCACTGGAGCAGAATGTGGATGGAAATGAGGAGTGAAGGCACCGGGAGGTGGCAGCCCCAGGATCAACCCGTGTGCAGGTCCCAGAACCTTTGGTATGAGCCAAGCTTTCACACTGGGGCCAGGAGCTGCCTTTGCAGTCAAGTGTGTGTCAGGGTTAGCGCTCCAACATGGGATGGCAGCACAGACCAGCAGAGCTGCCACCTGGCTTCTTCCTGCTCAGTCATCCACAGCCCCACTGCCACGTCCCCAGGAGAGATGTGCACAAGCAAAGGTAGTGCTGGACAGCATCTGCTTGGCACTGGAACACAGAATGAGATCCAGGAAGGTTGAGGGCTCCTCACAGCCTGATGGTAAAAGGTTTGGGAGACCAGCACCACATTATTCCTTATTTTCCTCACTACTGGGTCCACGTCTTTGGCTCTCTAATTCTCCTATGCCCTCATTCACTGTAGGCTAACATGCAAAGAGAAACCCATTTATTCTCCTTCAGTGCCTGCAGAAATGTACCCTTGTCCCGGTGTTTAATCAATACCCGAGAACAGACACTGCTTTTGCTGTACAGGACATTTGTTGCCTAAATTATGCAGTTAAAACTCTGCAGGCGTATGATGTGAGAAGAGCTGCCAAGCTGAAATCATGGCAGAAGCTTACAGATGAGGTTTACTTTATTAGGGGGTGCAACTCCTTGTCCTGTGGTATGAACTGTTACGGAGTGTTGGTAAGAAAAGGCATGCTTAAAGTCTAATGAAAGGATACACAGATGAAAAGGCATGAATGTCACAATGCTCCAGAGTCCAAGTTCTCCTGAACCAGAGCATGCTCCTATATACAGGAGCATTTTTGTGGTGTTTGGGAAGGAAGCACTGACTCAGCACCACTTCCCTTCACACGCATTGTGAAAATAATTTCCCTTGAGTGCATAAAGGCAGTCCCTCTGCACCAAGTCTCCGTGTCCATGCATGAGCAGAAAAGGCGAGGGATGTGCTACTGCCTGACACGAAGCCCCTTGGAAGCAAGCTATATAAGGCACCAGCACTGCTATACACAGGGCTAAGATGTTATCCATAGGGTCAAAACTCCCTCCAGTGATGTCTCTGGTTCAATGAACCCAGTAACCAGAGCAGTGCCAGAGATACCCTGCTTGGCTTGCATCAGCCGGCACTGTGAGTACGGCTACGAGCACGCGGGAGCACACATGGGTGATGTGCCTGTGGTGAAGCTCATGGGCATGGCTCCTGTCACACAGCCTCCTCCCGTTCCTCTGGGCTGTGGGTACATGAAAAAGCAAACGTCTGCTTCCTACCTGGCTGCTGAAACATCAGCATGGTCTGCGGGGAGGTGTGCACCGGCAGTGAGCGCGTTCTTTGCACAGAGCTGTGGCTCCGGCTGGGCATGCTGTTGCTGCCCCCGGGGTTGGCAAACCAGAGGTTCTGTGGGAAGCAAACAGAAAGAGAGGTGTGAGATGTAAACCAGAAGCTTCTGTGCCATGTATTTATAACCCCCTTGGGCTCATCTCTCCTCCGCTCCACCTCTTTGCCCCCATCCCTGTCCCTCTTCTGCATCCCACCACACGGAGAGTACAACCCAAGCACCTGCTTGCAAAGGGGGAAAAAAATGGGGATCAGGACAAGTTGAAGGAAAAGCAAACAAAGCTTGTGGGGAAGAGATGGAAAAGCTGGAGACGCCACAGACTCGTACCAACCTGTCTGCCTTGCTTGAGGATGGCGGGGCTGGCGGCAGGACTGCGCTGCGGGGTGCCCAGCAGTCCAGTGGGGCCCAGCAGCCCCAGCCGGGCCGTGGGGAGGTTGCGGGAGGGGATCTGGAACTGGCGGGGGTTGCGCCGTCCCAGTCCCGCCCCTGCAGAGCCGGCTGTCGGTAAGGAGTTGGACTGGCCAAAGCCTCGGCTGCAGAGAGAGAAAGCACCATGGGTGAGACATCAGCCCCTGCAAGAGACAGCGCAGGGGGAGCCGCTGGTTTGGTGTGCTTGGACCAACAACCAGACATCCCCAGGGTGTCCTGATGTTGCTGCAAAGCGCTGTACCAATGCTCATCCCCCCTGTACCCAGCCCATGGTCATGGGTCCACCACGAGCTCTGCTCCTGCCCCAACCCTCGCATCCTGCTGAGGATGGTTCTCCATCCTGCCTGCACGTGCAGTGGGAAACAGGAGGTTTGGGCATAGCAAAGCAGCTCCCTTTCTTCTTCCTGCCTGCCAGTCCCCATCCCTCCCTTCTGCAGCTCTCACACTCGCATCATTTTTCCTTTTTAGAATTTATTTTACTCCTGCAAAAAGGGGCTGTTCTTAAATGCAAGCTAAAATAACACAGGTAATTCCCTGGGCATTGGAGTGGGTGGCACCTGCTTCCTTGGGTTTTGATTTAAACCCTTCATGCCTTTGAGCTGTACAGAGATCTTTCATGTGTGGATTCTCTAGCATCTGATAAAGGTTCAGCTTATGCTGTTGGTTTTTTTTTCACTGGGAACACTTGAAGGGTGGGACCTTATCCCTTTCCAAGAGGTTCACTTTTGCAAACATGGCCGTCTCTGAAACTTCACTGTCAAATTTTGTTAGAGCCACCTAACAAGTCCAGGATTTCCTAGGGAGGGTCTGAGCGAAAGGCACATTCCTGCACAGGTAAGACACTGCAAGCCCTCATTCAGCTCCCTGCAATCAGAGCAAAACAATTCAGACACAAGACACTGATCTCAGGACATGAAACCATCTTTACGCCTTGGACTGGAGGGCCACACACACCAGAATCCCTCTTCATGAGGGTTTCTTGCATTTAAAACCAGATTAATGACACAGAAATAACAAGGTAACCCTTGGAAATACACAGCACTGGAGCTGGGTCTCCTCCAGCCTGGTGTCCCTGCCAGTTAGCTGGGCAGCAGGATTCCAAAACCATTATGAGGTTAAAGTACAGCCAAGGGTAGGAGCACTCTGCAAACCCACACTGCAGCTGCTTTGATGCTCCCTGCTCCCCCCTGCCTTTCTCCAGCACTTGATCTCCCTTGCAGATGTTTCAGCTCACCTTCCTCCCAGCCCTCATCTCTCCTGCTTGTGTGGGTGGCTGCAAACATGCTTCAGATGACATGAGCCTGCTGGGATCCCAAAGCTGGATAAATTTACAAGGCAGGAGTATGACAGGGTTTCTTTAAACCTCATCCAAAAAACACTCTTGCCATTAAATCCCCATGAGAAAAGCAGGACTGGCCACATGCTCCTTTCTTGCCTGCAGCTTCTCAGGAGCAGAAGAAATGCAAAAAGCAAACACTCAAAAGCAGCAAGGAAACTGGAGAGCATCCTGGACAGCCCCAGGAAAGGGACCGGGATCATTTCAAGCTATCAGCTCTACCTTGTTCTTGCAATCAGCCTGGATGTGCAGCTAAACTGCTGCACTGGTGAAATCCCATAGCAAATGGGTCATCAAAAATCTCTGCTCTTGTCTATTCTGCTTCCGATCCTGCCATGAACACTGAAACTGCCTGTATTGCTCCATTCCAAAATACTCTGTTTCATGGCATTAGGGAACACCCCAGTTCTGTGCCAATTCCTTCTGAATCCCGGCTGTCCCAATGCTCCCAGCTTTCTCCAAAACAGTTTCTCTTTAATAAAAAGAACTTGCACAAGACTGTAATAAAACAGACTTAGCAGAATGAGAGAAAAGGCTGATGATATTGTTAAAACTGATCTAAAAATATTTCTTCTTGTCATAACCCCAATGCTTTCTAGGATCACCCGAAATCCAGCATCACCTTGGAAGTGAGCAAACATAGTGTTCACAACACAGCCCTCCTGGCTCTGCACCCTCTGTGGGCTTCAAGCCCCTTTTTTTGCCAGTTGATGTCTTTTTGGTGAAACTCCAGCACTGATGTAATGAACAAAGGGCAGCAGGCAGGGGCAGAGCCGGCCACCCAATCCTGGGGAGACACTGCTCAGCTGGGAAGCACTGGATTTGGAGCCAGGGAGACACAGTGGGAATCAGTAGGGTAGGCGATGTCCACACACACAAGCAAACTTACTGCTGCTTTCCTTTCCCAGCCAACACCTGGGATTGAAGCTTTTCCAGCCTTCCTCCCTCCCAGAATATGGCTCTGAACCCAGAAGGATCAGTCCCTCCCTGCTGGGAGATACTGGTCCCACTGGAGATGCTCTTGCCACTGCATCCATCCATCCATCCCTCCCTTCCTGAAATCCTGCATACCTCCTCTGCTGCCGATAGCCTGACAGCTCCAGGAGGGATTTCCGAGGGAACGACCGAAAGAGTTTCTGCACCTGCTGTTTCCATGACAGCAACCGCTTCTTCTGGATCTCTGTAAACGCCTGCCCAAAGGAAAAAAAAGAGAAAAATAGGAAATGTATGAATATTTTTCTGGATAAAGCGAGCAGAGATGCATATGTGGGTGTGCAGGTAAAGAAACATAGCTGGAGCAGGCAGTGGTGTGAGTCGAGACCCAGAAGCAAGTCAAGAGGGAAACCCTGGTCTCTCTCTTGGATTTATTTACCTCAGGAGGAAAAAATGCTCCAGCAGCATCCCCTGCGCCCAGCTCTGCCCCCAAAGCTTTCATGCTGTCCATCCTAGCCCCAGACTCACTATTCATGCTGCAGCATGGGCACCTGGCTCCATGCTTGGTGCTGGGGTGTGAGCACAGCTCCCACAGGGTTTGATGGTCCCCGCCGGGTGGTGCCATTTGTCACCTGGATGTGGCTGTAACACAGCCAGGATCTCCAAATCCCAACTAGGATCTGGAAAGCAGAGCTGCTCCATAGCATCTTGCATTCTAACCTCCTTCCTGGGGCTCAGCTCTGTTCCTGGTGCCCACAGCCTCTGCAGGAGGTCACCCAGGGTAAGCCCCACCACCCACCCAGAGGTCACCCACACAGGAGGAGACTTCCTCCTGAAACACCCCAGACCTCCAGGCAGCCGGCGTGGGTTACAGGGCGATCCACATGCCCACCACAGCTAACTTTAGACACCCAGCATCTCCGTGCCAGTGGTGGAGAGGAGTGCAGGTCTCTGGAGGACAATGTGGAGGCTAATTAGTGCCTTGCTTCATTGCTCAAACTGCCCTTTGGAGGAGATGCTCTCTCCTGGCACTGATTATGCTGGAGCCAACGCAGATGGTGGTCCCGGGACACAGGCTGGCACTGGTGGGGTGACGCTGCATCACCACGTCTGTCCCAGGTACTCCTGGAAAACGAGTTCCTCTGGAGCGCCACATCTTCCTGGCTCTGCTCTCCAGCTCCAGGTCTCTGCTCCCACCATTCTTGCCCCTTCCGTGGCACCTCTGCTCCCCCAGCAATGTCCAGAGAGTCCAGGCACCACTTCCAGGCTCTGATGTCAGGGAGCAAGTAGGAGAACATGTTCTCTCCACCAGCTCCTACAGCTGTTCTCCACTGCCTGTGTCTCTGTAAAGCACCAAGAGGACCATACCCACAGCTCTAAACCTGTTCTGCAGCAAATCCTAAGAGTGGGCACCACCATCCCACACTGCATAGGGAGTCGCTGACACCGCAGGCACTGCCAGCAAAATGCACTGGAACCTCCACTAGGATCAACAGGGACATCTGAGAGCACACTCCAAAAAATATGATGAACTGCTTGTGTTTTGCCCAGTATCCTGCTATTTCACCCCAATTCAAGATGCCCTGTGCTCGGCCCTGCAGGGATGCATAGATCAAATAAACACAGCCTGGGCACCAGCTTCAGCTACAAGGAAAGGGGCTGCAAGCTGCCTCTCTCCTCTTCCATGCGCAGCACCGCATGTTTTGGGGTTTGCAGCCACCAGCTCTCTCCAGAGGAGGTTCTTCTGTTGTTTGTCAGCATACAATTTTATAAACAAGTAACTGAGAAACGTTTAAAGCCTGCAGTTCCTGTCAGAGGGTGTGCAATTTCCCCCGACCCCTGCCATATGGGCAGGCAATGAGAAGCAGCTTGTTCTTCCAGGTGTAGCCGGCATGGGTACAAGAAGCTGCAGGACACCGGGGACACCAGCCATCCTCCCTGCCACCAGGCACATCCCAAGCCATCAACCAGCAAAGGCAGACCTGCCAGAAGCAGGAACAGATGCCCCTGTTGCAAAATCCCAAGACCACGTGCTGCAAAACAGGAGGCAGCAACGCCAAGGGATCACTGGGACTCTGACAGAAACCGCCTGCATGCTTGTTGTGAGATTTGTTCTTTCATCCAGCTGCTGACCAGACTGTCACAAGCCAGATGAATTTCCCAGCTCCAAGTCTTGGCAATTAAGTGAGCATGGAGAGGGGAACAACATTTCCATGCACCATGCTGGAGCTACCGCCCGCTCTAGCCCTGTTCTGACAGAATGACTATTAATACCCCCAAAAATATTTGTGTTAGAAACCAAGAGGTTTACATAAACAGACACTTTGGAAACAGTTTCTAAGTGATGAGAACAACACTTTTAGATGATCCGTCACGACTCACCTCATGGATTAGACATTTGTCTATGAGCTGTAAATAGGAACTTATATTCTCTTCGTCAGGTCGAGAAACTAGAAGTTGTGTGCATACTGGAAGAAAAAGAGAGAAGAAAAATGGGTATGGGGACATCAAGCTGGGGTTCAGGGGTGGGCGCAACAAATGCCTTGGATGTCCCATTTCCCTTGTCCCACAGAGAGGTCTTCTCATCAGCAAGAAAAAATGTCCTTCCCCAATTCCTGCCGTGCTGTCCTATATTTAGGGGCAGATTTTGTTCTCTGTTACGATGGTGTAAATCCAGAGTAACACCACTGGAGTCACCAAAATTAGACCTGAGCAAATCAGAGGCACAGGATTATTTCCTATTCCTACACAAGAGCCGGTGCTGGGAGAGCTCTTGCTCCTTTGCCTAAAATCTGCCCCATTGCAAACAGATTCCCACCTTTCCCAATGGATTTTAGCCTCCTTTGGAATTAATGTCATAAATGCAAGTGGAAATGAGTTCACAGAGAGACACGGAGTCTCTCCTGTCATAACCCCAAGGCACGGATGCCTTGGGGTCCAGGAGGGTACCTTGGCCTGGCACAGCCTGTGCCACACATACAGCTTTGTGCATGACAGAGGCATTGTGTTATGGGCTGAATTCAGCAGCAGGTTTAAAATGGGGCCAGAAGCCCACGTTTGTCTGTGCATGCAGTCAACCAGCTGGTGAGAAATTCTGCACCAGGCTTTTATACAGACAACACCTCATCTGTTTTTTTACAAAAGGTGTGAAACAGGGCTGATATTCCTTTGTGGCAACCCAACAAGTTTGTTTCTGCTCCTGGTCTCCTGTGTGAGCTTGTGGGTGAGACTCCCCTCCTGTCTTCAAACACCTCAGGTGCCACTGACGGCGGTTAAGACACATCCAAGCTCACACAAATTTGCTCAAAGAGCCCTTTGCATGGCACAGGAGGTCAGTCCCTATCCTCACATCCCTCTGGTGCACCTCCCAGTGTGTTAATCCTAATTCAAAGCCACACACCCTGCACCTGGCATAGAACGGCACCCGAGTATTTTGAGTGTCCTGCATCTAAATTTGGGCTGAAGAAGGGACTTGGACCCAACTGATCTGCACTCGAGACGGCTCATGGCCAGCCCATACACCACTGCTACCCACCCCCCAAGCAGAGCAAGTCCTGAGAGATGCTGCTGGAAACACCTTTGGAGTGGCGTGCTGCCCCCCAGGACTCTGAATGGGAAGGGAGAGAATGCTATTCACCCCTGACCTGGGGCAGGGAGAGGATGCTATCCACCCCTGACCTGGGGCAGGGAGAGGATGCTATCCATCTCTGACCTGGGGCAAACAGCGTGATTCATCACTGCCCCTCCGCAAAATCACTGCCTACCTCCCCTCCCTACTCATACTCCTTACCACAGCACGATGGGGCCCTGGAAATCACCACCCCTAAGACTAGGGCTTGCAGCTTGGGGAAATGCTGCTGCCAGCACCACCACTGCACACACCCTGCCCTGAAGCAGCTCTCCTTAGCAAGGACACCAATAACCAGTGACAGGCACTCACCTTTCCCCATCACTCTGGTGAACTGTCCAGGCAGGTCACCTTCAGGCAAAGGGGCGCCTCCCGACTCGCCCTCGCATCCCGGCAAATGGTGCTGCTGCATCCCGCCTGCGGCAGAGTCCTTACAGTCAGAGCCTTGGCTGTCTGAGCCGATCAGGGAGGAGGGATGATGCGAGTCCGCGTCCCGGCTGTGCTCCTCTGTGCTCGAGTTTTGGGAAGAGTAAGCTTTGATGGGGGTGAGGATCATTTGGTGTAGTTCCTGCAGCGGGACACGCAAGTTGCCACCTTCCAGGATGTCCTGCAGATTCAAGTGGAGAGGAGAGGGTTTGTCTCCACAGAGACAACAGGACACCAGCTATCAACCAAACCCTTATTGGTACCCGCCAGGAGAACCTCAGCAAGGCCCATGGCCTCGCTCCTGCTTCAGGACCCTGCTGCAGGCCATGGTCAACAGCCATGTTTCATTCACTGAGTCTTGGTTAGACCAGAGGAGCTGTGCAGGCACTGTGTCTGATTATCCAAGGATGTGTTCAGACATGAATCCCCAGAGATAAATGAGCCACATCAGCCACTGGGACTCAAAACCAGTGGCAATCCAGCTTAAACATTTCCAAATTTCCACCAGGAAGATGAGAGCAACTGAGCCTGTGAGATTTCAATGCCCAGACCAGTGAGTATTTTGGTCCCTCTCCAGTAATCCCACAATCAAGACAATTCAGCTTGTCTTCTGTTTCCAGCACTGCCTTCAAGCCTGGCTCCCCGCTAACTGCTCTGCCCCAAAGAGCTTGCCATAGCATCACTATGCCGTTGGACCATCACAGAGCTCAGGACCGCACTGGGATGCAGAAGCCTATTCTGCAGCATCAAAGTGGGGACGTCCCTGCCCACACTAGGATGGGCTGGGGAAGCGGATGCAGAGGAGAAAGGGAAGGTTTCAGGGGGTGCAGGGTAGGTAGGTCAGACATAGAAGGGGAGACCATGATGCTGCAGATGAACTTATATCCCTATAGTGAAAACATTCATCTTGTAGATCCTGGGGGAGGTCCACCCAGAAGGGAGAGAATTTGGGTACATCCCAGCCTTACTCTCGGTTACAGTGTGGATCAAGATCTCCCTTTCTATGGTCAGAGCCTCATTCCACTGATGGGAGAGAACTGCATTTTGCTTTTAACATAGCCTGGACCAGAACACCTTGCTGCATGCCTCAGCATGGCCTTTCTAGTGAGATGCAACTTGGAAAAAGGCAGCTTTTTGGAGTGAGTCCGGGCTGCACCCAGGGAAGAGACATAAAATGGGCACACAGGCTGTGTGTGAGCCAGCTGAAGCCCTTACATCCCTGCTGCACTCCCAGCTTGCTCTCAGGTGTCTCAGCTCCACTTCTCTCAAAGACCTGGTGTTGTTCTGCTGGGCACTATTTTTGGGGAAAAAATCCTGTTCTGCTAACCGGCAGAGAGGGGTGGAGCAGCTCTTCCCAAGAAAGCAGCAATCTTTAGCAGAGAGACACTGCCCAGAAAAACCAAGTCTCACACATGCTCTTGTTTAGCACAAAGAAATTGCATGGGAAGCCTGGAAAACCAGAGATGTCTCCTCCCTAGTAAAGCAGCTCACAGGCAGCTCTGAGCCTCAGCAAAGTGGGACATGGTCACAGCTCCATAGCCCAAACCACCCCACAAGGGCTCAGAATCAGTCCCTGCCACTTATCTCCCATATTTTACAGCGTACGTGGCTGGTTGTGTCACCTGAACTGGGCTCCAGCTCCCACACCGCACCAGTCAATCAATACCAATTTCAAAACCCAGGCAGAGATGCAGGGAGAGAGGCTGTGCAATTGTCTGGAAAACACATTGCCGAAGCAAGCTCAATCCAGTGGGCTGTCTCTTGGATTTAACAGTTATTATTAATATACGGAGGTAAACACGGCTTTATTAGCTCCTGCCATACTCTGAGTACAATCCCATATTATAAATAAACGGTGAAGCACTGAGCTAACAAAAACACCAATAAATAGCAACATGCCACGTAAGTATTTAAAAGCCCCTAGAGTGGGAGGCTCTGCAAGTTGCTGTTTGAAGATGGTGCTATTAAATATAATATAATATTGCGATAATAAATAGTGAGAGTTTGGGTGAGCTGCTCCCAGCAAGGCTGTGGTGCTGTTGCTTCTCTGACAGCCATTTCTGCAGAGTTTAAGCTTTTGTTGAAGTGACAGAGAAGATCCTATTTGCTCTTGCTGGAAATTCAACATGTTGTTCAGGCACTGATGAGGGCATCTGTCTTTTTATCTGGGGACAGATTGTCCATAGGATGCTCCAGAAAAGCACAGTGGCCCTCAACCTGACAGACACTGGGCAATCCCATCTCTATTCGGGGATGGAGAGGCAGGAGCAGGTGTGGGGGTCCTTTTGCTGGCCCCATGCATGGAGGAGGTCTCACGAGAGGGACAGTGGCACTGAGAAGGGAGAGGGAACCAAGTGGCCGAGGGATAACAAGTGGTTAAAGGCTCTGCCCAGCTGGTTCTCCAACAGCAGACAGGACGGCAATGGCTGATGCAGCTACAGCTGGTCCTGCACCACAGTTCAGCAGATAAGCAATTACCTTCCCATCAGTGTCGCTGGGATGATATCTTCCATCACTTGAAGCTCAGGTGTTTCTAAGCACCCTGGAGCTGATTAGGGCTTGTACCAGTGCTGTATATTTGTCCCAGCTGTGTGAGTGCCAGAGGTGGATTAAGACCACTCTGCAAAATACAGCCCCAAATAAAACCTGCATCTGGTACAGGAGTGTTTGAGACATCACTCAGATGCAGCTAGGCCAACAACAGACTTCTCTGCAAAAGATCCCAACAACATGTAGAACAGAATTAACTCCTGCCCCCTTGAAAAAGAAGAAATACAGAAGTGGCTGTGATTACTTACCCTTTCTAAAGATTTGAGCAGGTTTTGTCTTTCTTTTAGCTTCTGGATGCTGATCACTATTTTGTGTCTTGCGCCTTTGGTAACATTCTGAAAAAAACAGAACAAAACCTGATGTTAACATTTGCACAGGTTATCCCAAATCCATCCTCCACTAAACAAAAAGGGCTGCTATAAATTAATCCAATTCCTGAGTGCAGAGATTAGCAGGGGACACAGAAAATTACTTAGAGACTTGCTGAAGATAAGAGATTTCCAGCTAGTCTGTCCCTTCCCGGTACGTCTCACACAGTTAAAGCAAAGGTGCTGACCGGCCCCCTTCATCCTGAGCATAACAGAGAGGCAAACCTGAAAGCGGTGGCATTTTCAAAGGTTAACAAGGCAATCAGCCACCAAAGCCCAGCTGACTTTAAAGGAATTGGGTACTGTCGACTGTGCCCCTGAAACTCCTTAATTTAATCCCAACTGGGAAAAAATGCAAATGCAGCCCCCAATGCTGGAACTTTCATGCTGGGATTCCAGTCAGAAATCTGGGACAAGGTCTTTTTCAGGTACAGCATGGGTTTTTTCACTCCCCAGAACCCAATTTTCTTTTCTCCGTTTGCTTCACAACCACCTGCAGGCAAAAAGCCTTCCATGTGAAGGCACAAAAAGAGGCATTTGGAGGCATCTCCTCTACCAATATCACACGTCAGGACCATCGTGGATTGCTTTATGACTGATGTGGGACGTACTTGTGCCTCAAGCTGGCATTCGGTGAGGGCCATCATCTCCTCGTACGTCATCTGCGAGAAGAGGGCAGCGTACTTGTGCAGCCGGAGGCTCTTCAGCCAGGCTGGGACATCTGCAGCACAAAGGTAAGGAGATGAGAGCTCTCTTTGAGTTCATGATACTGCTTAACCACACGCGATAGCATTAACACCAACATGAAGAGTTGATTAGGTGCTACCTGCCATCCCCCTGCGCCTTCACACACCTTACTGAACTTCAGGGACCTTTTGGAAGACATAGTGCTGTGGATATGGGTGGTAGGAGGAACCAGTCCCTGGATGAGGACATAGTGCTATGTGTATTGATGGCAGAAAGAACCAGTCCCCAGATGATGACACGTTCTCAGAGGCTGAGTTTCTGCAGCTGAGCCACCAGGAACTAGCCCACAGGGAGCTGGCATCACACCACTGCACTCCTTGCTGCCCTTCTCCCAGGAATGTGGGAACAGCCGAAGTTAACGGTGTGGTGGAGCCTAGGATGAGCAAATGGCTGTTTTGCAGATGGCAGACACTGCTTTATGGTGTGAGGGGAGACGGTACGTGCTGAAAATTTAAATGGCTGCTTAAAGAGATGGGTTTTTTTTGAGCATGGAAAAATTATGTGTCATTGAAGATGGTCCCTTGTGTTTCAGAAAGGTGACCTGGGACCTCAAATGCACTGAATGAAATGACTTCTTCCTTCCCATTTGCTATCTGCAAAGTAGCACCTCCGTACCTGGCTGGATGGGTACCCAAAATATATTTATCTAAAAATACTTTTACCCTTCTGACATCAATGTGATTTCACAACGAGGGACCCAGGAGGTGAAGCCTTCCTTTGCAACATGCAAAACCCCACCAGACCCCATGATGGGGCATCCTCCACAGAGAATGCAACAGGACATGAGCCTCCTTTGCTACCACCTGCCCAGCAGTTACTCAGGGTTTCACAGGTTTGGGGGGCTCCTGCTGACACTCCACAAAGTGGGGGGACCCTGCAGATATCTGCGCTGCAGCACAACACTGTGCCTGTGATGATGCATCCTACAGGCTTCAAATGCTGTGCCAAACTGGCACAAACTGCTTTATTTAGCACCTACAGCCCAACAATAGCCTGGCCTCAGACTACCGAGCTCATGCTCTCTGCTCCCAGCAACCTCTGATCATTAGTCCTTGTCTCCTTCCCCACCAGCAAGACAGTGTTTCAGCCCAAGCTCTCACACCTTGAATGGAGGGAGCAGGTGAGGCCTTGAGAAACCTCTCTTTCGTGGCTAAACACCAGTTAGCAGCAGCTCCTCCCCTCTCTTTGACTGTTCCTGATTCAATGCATGGGGTATGTGCTGAGCCAATACACGACCCCATGTAAGGCAGGGGCTGATGATGCAGGAGAGCCCCAGGGGAAGAAGTGATGCAACGCTGCCCCGATGGGGTTCTTCTGCCCAATGTGCCCATTGAGGGAGGAGATGGAATGGGGCTTGTACCGTTTTCAGAGTGATTTGTACCCATTGTGTGCTTCCCCTGCTGGGTTGGGCCTGGCATGGGTGCTGGTGCTCTGTTCACCACCCCAGAGGCCAGCATGAGGACAACCTTCATGCCATGTCCAATAACCTTCACTAACATAGCCAACCTCAAAGGTTTTCTAGGCTGACCCGATTGCAGTGTGTGAGGCAAGACTTGCTTTGGAAAGGGATCAGACGATGTGAGGAGGAAAGTCCCACTGCTGGGACATCCCATGGTATGGGTGGTCTCTGTCCAGAAAGCGTCACGCTCCTAAGTGCCAGATGCAAGTCAAGGATCATCACAGACCTATTCCTGAACCAACACCATGTTGCTGGAGGGGACAGGGCAAGACAGACTGTTGGGTTGGTCCCCTAGGTCAATTCTTACATCTGCCAGAAGTCTCCTGCTGCCCACTGCCTGGGCTGACCCCAAATCCCACTCGCGTCTAAGCAGAGGATGCAAACAGCCCCAGAATGCTGTGTTTTGCTCACACTTGCCATACTTTGATATACAATAGGATTTGTGTTTCAATGAAATTCCTCAAATGCTGTACAGGAGATTAACCCCACACCACCATGGGGTCAAAGCAGTAACTGAGCATGGATGGGCTGAACTTCTGCTGTTTTCCAAACGTCCTGACACGCAACTGTCCTAAAACCTACTACTGGAAGCCTCTTAAACCAGTTTTCTGTTTCAAAAGCCATAAAAGCTATTAGCAGAAAGCCCACTGTTTCCAGCGCAGGACTGGCAGGCTCAAATCTCAACTTCATTTTAACACAAAACCACACCATTTTAATGACGACACATTAAAAGCCTTCCTGATCCCTTGTCCCCAGTGGCAAAGCCCATGGGGACACTTTCAGAAGAGAGACACAACTTCATATGGCTACAAACCCTGCAGAAAACCCATCTCCAACCTTTGCAGAGGGTCAGAGTGCAGAGGCAGCTCTTCTTTCCCCTTGCATCAGCCTCCCTGGACAATCTCCTAATCTGGGGGAGCTAAATCCCAGAGCCCCCTTGCCAGTGGGAACGGCAATCCCAGTAGCAGGCTGAGGAGAAGGAGCCACCACAGCACACAGAGGGATGGTGGTGGGGCTTTTCCCCTTCCCACTGGGAAAAGGCAATCAGGAGGTACAAGGTTTTCTAAGGCAATTTCATGGTCCTCGGAAAGTCAAACTTCCCAACGTTCCCCACGGAACAACAAGCTGCTCGCCTGTGGAGCTACTCTTTAATCACTGATTAGTGGGAGCTAATTGCAAAGTCATGGCATGGCTGTCAGAAATGCTGCGTCTGATGTGAGCAGCAAAGCGAGGACTTCCATGCTGCTCACATACGTTGTTCCCTAGGAGTATTAAACACTGGAGTTTGGTTGGCACATGTGTATCTGGGTGCTGGCACAGAAATTTAGGAGGAAAACAATTCACACCACCACATACACATACACAGGCCAATATATACACAGGACATCTTCAGAACTGCCCTTAGGGCACACTGTGTCAAGCCATAGACATACTCACAGAAGAAACCTTCAGCTTTACCCAAACCTTCCTCCTAGTGCTCCCTGAGCTATGCAGCAGACAGAGAGACAGGCTCCACAGGGAACAAAGTGCCCATGTCTCCCCTGGAAAAACCAGGGGCCAAGAAAAAATCAAATGGCAATTTTCCTTCAGCATGAAGATGAATGGAAATGAGAGAAAATAAGTGACATTAGGGCATGAAGACAGATGGAAAAGAGAAACAGGTAACATCAAGGGACATGAACTGCTAAGTCACATTGGATGGGGGTCTCTTGTGGGTCTGGTTTCCCCACTGTCCTCCTGGATGTGTTAAAGAAGGGAGCTGACCAGAGACACGGGTGACACCAAACCACAAGAGCCTGCAGGCACACAGGGAGACGTGGCTGCAATTCAGAGAAAGGACTTGGCAAACCGAGCAACTGGTCTGGATGAAATAAGATGCAACCCAATAAAAATGCACAGTTGTGCGTTTCTGTAGGAACAAGGAAAGGCACGAACTGAGGGCAGGGAACGGGCAGTACTTTTTTTTTGCAGGAAAGCTGTGGGGATACAATGGGTCATATGCAGCCCGTGGCGGTATGCTATTTGAGGACAATGAGCTATATAGCCACAGGAACGCTGTCCGTACGGCAAGCAAGTCTCTGCTCTGCTCTCAAGTCCAGTTTTGGGCAGCACAGCTCCAACAAAATACGGACTTCCTGGGAAAGAAAAAAACATCAGAGAGAAGCAAGAACAATCCAAAGTTTATAGAACTCCATCTGGGAAGAAACTGGATTCGTTCAGTCTGAAGAAAATGCAGTGGAGGGAGGAAGACACAACAGTCATAGACAGGAGAGGCTGCAGACATCTGTTTTGCATGTTCCAAGACAGTGGGACAAAAGCATTGGTTAAGTAACAGGGGAAACAGGTTTAGATGTTTGCAACCCTTACTCCAGTGGAGGATGATGCCTGAGAAGGGATGGCCTGAGGAAGGGCAGCATCTCCTCCAGGGGAACTCCATGAAGCAGCAATGGGCTGCCTTAATATGTGGAGTATATTTAATTGGTTATTGCTCGTGGACAATGTGGGCAATACCATCTTTGGGTTTTGCAGATTTGGCCGTACAGATTGACTGCGTTGCACTAGAAAGTTTCTATCCACACAGGTCCTAGAGCTGCAGCTGTGGATCACAGGGAGCCAAGCTCCCCATGGACTCCTTCCCAGCTCCATCAACAGAAATCTGAAGAAATGCAGGGTTAAACAGACCCCTGTACACCACCTGCTCCCAGAAAGGGTCTCCCAGCCTCACAGACTGCAGGATCTGGCCCCAGGCATGGAAAGCCTTGGGGACTTCATACTGATTACAGCTTAGTCTTCAACATGCTCATGGTGACCCCTCTGAGCCTGCCTGTCTGCCTGCTGCTCCAGCCAAAAGGTCATGCAGGCAGCAAGAGCCACAGGTTAGCGAAGAGCCTGAAACAGGACCGGAGATGAAACACTCCCTGGCTGTGCTACCTGATTAGAGGTTTGTTAGCGAGCGGAGCTGCTGAGAAGCAAAGCCTCGCTCTGCAAGGATGCCATAATGCTCAGAAAACTCTCCTGTCACACCTACAGCCCACTGCCCCACCCCAGAGCAACGCCACAGGGAAATTCTGGCTAGGGAGAGGGCGGAGCCCTGAGCATCTATCTCACAAGGGAACCATGAGGGCTTTTTCATGCATTCATTCCACACACACGAATCATAAGTGGCAAGTCAAGTTTCACATTGCAGAGATTTATACGTATCTAGATTTGTCTGTAATTAGAACAAAATCAGACCTTGTGACTATTAAAAAGTATGACTATTTCCTTATTCTGATACATCACTGGTCTTTACATAATTGAGTCGCTTTGCATCAATGAAACTGCAATTGTTTAAATCAGCCTGTGATAGCTGGGGGTTCATTTTCAGTCGTTTTGTCTGTTCACAGGAATACAGAGTTTGCGTTTGATCAGTTTTTATCTATTTACTCCTCTACAGCCTGAAGTTTGCTCTTCGACTGCAGCAACAGGGTTTCGTTTCTGCCTCGTTTACCAACAGGATCACACATATTTATTGGCAAGAGTCCGTCTGAAATGCAGGTGTAATGGGAAAAACAACTGAAATACACAGGATAAATACACTGCAAGCAAGCATCCTAAGCCAAAACTTCCCCAAATACTTGGTGGGTACCAAACACTGCAATGGTAAATCACATGTGGCCTGCTAAACTTACACTAAGCTATTTTTCACCATAACAGAAAGGAAAGTGAAAAGAGCACCACTTGCAGCCAAAAGCCAGAGGCTATGGAAAAAATCCAGCTTTTTTGAAAGCTGGCAGCTTGCAGGATTTTGGGGCAAAACCAGCTCATCGGCACCCAACTGTAAGACATCAGCTCAGAACCAACAGCTGCTTATAAGAAAACCTAACTTATACCCCTAAGCCTAAATTCCTAGGCTGGGAAGAAACACTGAAAGGCCCCGTCTGGTTACAAGCACTCTCGCCCAAAACCGCCGAGCCCCATGCGGCTGGGAAAACAGCTTTTCCCCTCCTGCCTCTGGGTGCTGGCGCGGCGGGGGGAGGCATCTGTTTTTTCACTCACCTTTCATCCCACTCCCTTCCTCCTGGAATGTGTTACGAGCGGAAGGCTGATCTTCTAAATGTTCACTCCCACCACTTCCCGAAGAGGCTACACTGCTTTGTGGAGACAGGGGGGCATGATCAGAAGGGATGCACTGGGGTCCTCTAGCTCGTAAGTCCTCATGAGACATCCATCCATGTCCTAGAGGTTGGTTTGGCACATTCATGGGTGGGGTAAGGGACACAGAGCGTTTCAAAGGGCTGTGGTGTGTCTGGCCTGAGAGAACTGAAAAATAAAAAAAAAAAATAAAAAAAAAAAAATCAAAATCAAAGAGGTTATTCCCCCCTCACGGCAACAGAGTCCCCCAAAAAAATCACTGACATCATAAAACACGTGCTGGTTGGCCACGGTGCTTCGATGATGGCTTTGCAGTGCCCACGGCTACCTGAGCCCTACCCTGAGCTCTCCACTTTGCCTCCCGGGAAGCAAAGAGGATGGGAGTACCTGCAAGGAGGTGGGGTTACATGAGCTATGTTGGGCTGCTTAAGGAAAGGTGTTGTGTGGGTTGCATCTCTAGGAAAAAATGAAAAATCAAACAGCTCTGGAGGTTTTCCCCATGTGGAGTCATGGACCGACAGCAAACCCAAGCTTGAGACTGTGCTGGGTGTTTGGCTGATGCTGCTCGCCAACCCTGGAGCCCAGGTTGGTGTCACCCTTGCAGGGAAGGCACTGCTGCTGTTGCAGGTGTAATGGGAATTTGCAAGTGACTACACTGAGGCCATGAAACTCACCCTGCTAAAATCATCCAGACCTGTATCCTGCTGGGAAAAGCATAAAAATCCCAAGGGTGGGAGTGTCCTCACACAGACCCAGGGGACACTCCTCTGTCTCTCCTTTGGGATAGGACTTGGCTTATGCCCAAAGCACGAGCATTTACACATCTGCCTAACATCACTGTGGAGGTACTTCTCATTCATAGAAATGTCTAAGCCTTGCTGAATCCCACTAAGATCCTGCACTTCGCTGAGATATCATCAGCAATGAGAGCATCCCAGCTGAGCCACCCATCAAGTGTGCTTCCCACCACAGGCCTTGTAACCGTCCACAAAAGCAAACACCCAAGGCACTGGTGAAAATACATGCATGACAAAGAGGTCTTCACCTCTTTGAAGGTGAATCCCCCCAAGAATAAATAATCTTTGGAAAGCTTTAGATTTGTTTTTCCTTCCCAGTTTTATAAGGGTTTGTATTTCCTGGCTGAAATTTTGATACTATCAAGTTCAATCTGTTTTAACAAATAGCTTTAACACTGCTAGGAAGAAAGTGATGCACCAACTCAACCCCTGTGATTTGGAGTAACTTCTTGAAAAAGGCTTTACAATGAGTAGGCATTTACTTGCCTTCCAGTCAAGTACAGAAATATATCCTAGGCATGCTAAAGTATTAAATACCCCCAAATCATGATTTTCTGACACTTTGCTAGAAGTACTGCAATTTAATTAGATTTTTGAATAAAATTGTTAATGTATAGTCTCTGGTTTTCGCTCTTATTCTTCCATACTGTCTCGTTCAGTTTTACTTATCTCCTTAAAGATTTAGGTATCTTTTTTTCAGGCCCCTTGGTTAGTAGGGATAATACATGGTATTTAGAGGAAAAGAGGAATATGAACAAACTATCTTTGTTTCTGTTAATGAAAAATATATTAAAAGATTTGCCTGTTGGCTAACAAAATTCAAATTCCACCACTCACAAAGTCACTAAACTGCTGGTTAAACCATAAATGCAGTTAATGTATTTTAAAGCATGGATTTAGGATGTAAACCACTTGTTTAATGTTTTATTGCAGTTACTTTTAATGAAATCAGTTAAACTTCATGGGGGCTGTTTCCTGGTAACCAAAACCCAAAAGATATCTGGATTAACCATCACTCAGCCGAGCTGTGTCTCATTGCCCATTAAGATAACCAGGACAAGTTCTGGATCTAGAGCTATGGGAAGGTCCTTTCTGGTTTGCATCAAACCCAAGCCAACACTGCTGGTTTTAATGTGCCCCCGAGTACAGATGTGGGGTTCACATTGTGATGGCTAACAAAACTTTTGCACTGCTTAACATGGACTCATTTCTATAGACAAGAGCAAATTCTGCAGAAAGACACTGATTTCTCAAAATGAGAGCTCTTAAGCTTCATTGCAGGGTCGATGAGATGAAAAGCAGATTTTCTGCTCTAGGGAAATCTGAGGGCAGAGGAATTAAAATGACCTTTCAGTCCATATGAAACTGAAGCAAGAACTTTTCCATTTTTCTTCTAAATCAAATTTCCTAACTCTGTACAAAACCTGGGGGAAATTCATTGTCCTCATTGCTTTTCCTCCTAGAGCACCAAAGCACTAACCCCCTTTTTCGTATTGGTAGGAATTCATCCAAACCACGCATGGCTCCTCCACATGTTACTTCCTAATATAAATGAGCCTTGGTGGAAACCCCCCAGCCAGGTGTACTGTGCTCTGCGCTGTAAAAATTAAGTGGGGTTTAATTCCCAGCTAAAGCCTGGGGGAAAACCTGCCATCAAAGCCATCTCTGCTGACCAGAAGTGCAATGAAAATGACCAAGTAGAGGGTTTATAACAGGAGGGGAGAAAAGAACCCCGAGCTCGTTTGCATTTATTAAGCAGCCGGTGCCACACGCAGCTGATGGATGAGGCCAAAAAACTCTGGATTCCTGCAATGTCTAAGTTGTTCCTAGTTCTGAAAGTTTTCTTCTACCAGCACATAACACTAACATCACGCTATAGAGGGAAGCAAGGGAATGGCTTATGGTGAAGAATTTCTTCCCTTCCCATTAAATAACTACAGAAACATCTTCCAAAAGTCTCCTGGCAGGAAAGGATGTCAGTGAGGACCTGGGATTGTTTTTCAGAGCAGTGTTATGTTTCCTAAAGTTGTGATGCATCCTGATGGGGAAACAGATGGATTTCAGGTGATCTTGGCCAAGTTATTTCAGCAATTGCCTTTGCAATTGTACCCCCAAAGAGCACTGAAATGGGGCTCTGTAGATGTCGTAACACCCACCCGGAAGAAAAAAAAACATATTTAGCATTGAAAAAAAAGGGAAATAAAAAGAAAGATAAATCAGTTGAAATGCAGCCCCATGGCTGAGCACCACAGCGACACTGTCCAGAGCCTGATCCGTGTCTGCTGCCCTCAGCTGTGTGCTAAGGGGACAGAAGCCACCATGAATTTGTTGGGAAAAACTCTGGTTTAGGAAGCATTTTTGCCCTCTGAATGAATGAGAGATGCAGGGGAGTGTATCCAGCATGCTTTTTGGATGGTCCAAGGTGAACCCAGGGCTGCCAACAGCTGAGCTGTGACAAGTCACTTGAAGTGGTGTTGCCTATTTTGGTAGAAAAGGGCTAATTTCAAGAAGGTTTTTGTTCACTGAAGATCATGTGGAACAGCATCAGACATTTGTGTTGTGGTTTCTTAGGGTTTCAGGCCAATTTTTCAGCCTAAGAAGGGAAAAGCCACCCGTTGCTATAATTAAGAGCTGAGGAATTGGGCTCTGCAGGCTGACCTTCCTTCACATGGCATGTGATGGCTGGCGAAGTGCTCACCTTCCCTCTGCCCCAGTGCACCCTTCATTAAATCTGGTTTACAGTGCAGCAAAAGTCCTTGACAAGACACATGCAGGGCTGGTGTGAGCACTTCCAGCAAGAGCCAGATGCACTGCTGGATACAGAGAAGTGTTCAGACCGTTTCTGGACCCAGCGTGCCCTCCACCGCTACATGGTCCCCCACTAGGTCCCTGAGACCTAGAGGACCTTTACAACCACCTCACAACCTTTATACCAGTGCACAGTCCATACAGCAGATTTCAATTCAGAATAACATCCTTCCCATGGCTGGAGAAAGGAAAAATCACTGGAAGGTGCATGCTGAACTCTTTTGGATATGGGTTTTTTTTAAACCTAAAAACAGCACTTCTGCAAATCTGGTTATGGTGCATCATCAGGCATGTACAGTTTATTTTCTGGTCTGTAGATACCTGCATTAGCAGCCTGAACCCAACTTGCTGGAAGTGGGGATGTTTCTAATCTGCCAAACCCACATGGTCTCTTGCACAGCCCGGAGGCACCCCCATGGTGGGGAAATACTGAGCAACACTCCTGCAATCCCCCTTGCAAAGCAAGCACCAAGTTCAACTCGGTCCTCTCCTCCACCTCCTCCTTACTACCCCGGTCACGAAGCATCCTCTCCTCCGGGAAGACTCCCCCGCGCTGGCAGACCAACACTCTTGGCTTTTCCAACATTTCTGCGCTGAGGACCCTTGGAAACAGCTGCCGGAGGGTCATGCTGCCCGGCTGGCACCCAGCCTCCTTCCTGGGCACCTCATTCACCCGCTCCCCACACTGCTGCAGGCAGCTCCAGCATGGCCAAAGCAGAACCTGATGGAACATTTTTCAGCTCAACATCCCCTAAACCCTTGGAGCCTTTTCTTCTGCCTTTTCTTTTTCCCCTTCCCTAGGTTTTGTGGCTGTGACTTTAACTACGTTGTTTGTATGATGCCGGATAAACCATGTCCTTACTTCTAAATCAGGGGCTGATATAAGCCATGGGGGGTGAAATGAAGGGTCCTAAATGCAAGCAGCCACTGGGTAGCTATGTGCATTCGGGAAAAAGAAATACGTAAGCAGAATGCTGCCTGGAGCAGACATTAGGAAGAAGCACAGACTGCAGAAAAGCCTGTCAAGCAAACTTTTTTTAAGACATGACGTTTATAAACACAGTTTCCTGTTCAAGAAACTGGAAAGGGAAACAATAACTCAGTTGTTGCTGCTTTCTCCAAGCAGTGCATGTGAGGCCCCATCCAGGCACAGCCAGGGAAGGGGATGTCTCTGCTGACCACCACAGAGGGTTTCACAAGCCCTTGCACAGCACAAGCATGTGTGGATCCAATGTTTGGCCCTGGCAGGAACTGCTGTTATTGTTATTTACTCACTTATGTGCAGCAGGAGCAGGGCTGCATCTAAAGACAGGCAAACACAGCTCTTGGTGGCTTCAGCAATCCAACGGGATGCATTTCTGGAAGGAAGCCCAGCTCGTCTCACCAAGGAGCAGAAGCTAGGGAGCTGCTTCTAGGTCCTTGTGCTGGGCTTCTCACCAGGCCGGAGCCAGACAAACCAGGTGTGAATCCCAACTGTGATTTAACTTGCACACAACAGGATGCACAACATGGAGGCTGGGGGAGGTGGGAATCTGGTGGAGGGGGTGTGGAGGATTAGAGGCA